GGGTCACCACAACATGAGGCACTGTATTAAGGGGTCGCGGCATTAGGAAGGTTGAGAAACACTGGTCTAGAGGCATTTCTCTCCTGACATTTCGCCTGCATCTATGGCAAGCATCCTCAGAGGTAGTGAGGTGACTATGGAGGATGCTTACCATAGATGCAGGCGAAACATCAGGAGAGAATGCCTCTAGACCATGGCCATATAGCCCGAATAAACCTACAACAACCCACTTGGAAGGAGGGCCGAAGTTTGCCCATGCCTGATGTATGACAACCCAGGGCATACCTCATCAACTACGCGGGTATCTCCCCGAAAACATCCCTTACATCAGGCCTGCACAATATGCGGCTTGCGGGACGGATATGGCCCTCACTAGAATTTGGTGTGGTTTGCAGAGGCTCCGAACTTAAGCCTTATTTAGAGAGGGAGATCATATGCAACGCATACCCACCATCCTCCCTTTCAAATGTTTTGCCTCTTTAAGTTTCTTTTTGCAATGCACCAAAGATACTAAACTAACTTGGCTCCGTTGCTCTTTTGTTTTGTTTGCATCTGGGTCACCTCTGTCGTCTCCTCGGGGAAAACTGTTGTAGATCAGCCAGAGGCTGACGGTTTGACTGATTATTTAGTGAGGAAAGTGATGGGCCATAAAGTCTGGAAAATTATGGTTCGGCTCGGAAAGTGCAGGGACTCAAGTCCAGTCAGAGGAGCCAGAAGTAGCAACAGCAGATAAGGAATCAAGTGAAGAGCTGAGTGATAAGAAGGGTTGCCAGGAGAAACCACCTGTAGCTACGGAGATCAACAAAAGACTTTGTTTACAAATTGGAGCCAAAAATAGATTGCATCGGTCAGAAATATTACGTGGGAAAGTTGTGGAGAAAATTCAGGAGAGACGTAATGCTTTCATGGGTGTCTATTAAACAAGTTGTTTACCTTAAGGGTAACGCAATGCTGTGTTTGAGCGAAAAACTTGTCAGGATTATTTGGTTATGTATGTGTGTTTTTCAATGTGTTTCTATGTGCTTCAAGATGGATTCTATTCTGCTCTATTGTGTATAAGAAAACACAGTGCTGAGGCTGTGAAACTGTAACCTTGACAGAAATGAGATAACGTGTTCTCTGGCTGGGAAGAAGAGGGAGGATCTGGTCTCAGCCAGAAGTCAGATAAGCAGATGTTCAGAGACTGTTGTTTGTGCCTAGTAGTTCCTGTCTGTTGCTTGCTGTGAATAGACGTGTATAGATGTACTTAGTAAACTTAGTTTTCTGTTGTAACTGAAAGCTTGCAGAGTCCTTTTTGAACACAGTGTCTGCTGATCTACCAATCCTTCCGCTGGCAAAGCTTCAATACTCTGACAAAACTAAGCCTTGAGGTCTCTTGTTCTTGGTTCAAGCTTTGGTTTTGGATTTAATATATCATGGAAGTTTTCTATGTTTCTGTTCATGTACTCCTGTTCAAGTTTTTACTAGTTATGCCTTCTTGCTTGTGGACTTATGCTCTACCTAGGATTTCTGGCTGTTCCTGGACTTTGCCACCTCTGGAACTTTATGAGACATTTGGATTATTGTTTGGTTATAACCTACTGCTAAACCTTTTTGGATTATAGATCTTCCTTTCTTATATGCTTTTCAATATGTCTTTTATGTGGTCTACAATAAACTTTGATTATATTCCTGGACCTGTGTGGTGCGGTGGTCATAGGTGTTTCCAGGTCTGGAGTGCAACTAAAACACCAACTCCGCTATTCATTTCCCTCGTTCATGAGGGAGAAACATGGCATCACCATGAAGTTGTTGCGGGGTTAAGGACTTCATCACACACCATAAAACCAGTGTTTCTATGCATTTAAGAAATGGCTACTGACTGAGCCCCTCACAGAAGTTTGTATTGTGGGTTCTAGGTATTTCACTGTTCCTAAAGTGTGCTTCCCCCCAATGATTCCTAAGTTGATTGATAACTGACTACTTCATTTAAAATTCCCTGTTCAGAAACGGGTAAAAATGTAAAATTTAACGTGTGATGGGAATTGTAAACATAATGATGTCATCGTTCTGGAAGGAGAACTGAGTATATAATTCTTTCCTCCCCATAATCTTTTTGGGATCGAGGAGGAGGAAGTATGGGTTGCTTCCCTGTAACCATGTTTCTCTGAGTGGTCACCTATGAATTCGCACATATGGTTTATTCCTGCCATATGTGCGATTCACAGTTGACCATGATGGAGAAGTATGGGTTGCTTATCTGTAACCATATTTCTCCGAGTGGTCACCTGTGAATTCACACATATGGCAGGAATAAACCATATGTGTGAATTCACACTTGACCACAATGGAGAAAAGGTGATTTATAGCTTTTTGTTATCAATGCAAATTCAACAGTTACTTTTTGAATTGAGAGTTACTTGCAATTCCACACCAATGGAGAGAGTCAGAAACACTGGGATGTCTGTGGTGGAGAATAACCAGAAATTGTAATATAGAAGAATATAAAATAGAAGAAATTCCATTTATAATGATCTTGTGAGAAGAAACACAAAAGAAAATGGGGGAGGAGACAGTAGGATGAGAAATATGTGATGGGAAGGCAAACGGATAATTTGAAAAGAAAACTGAACGAAGGAAAATGTGTGATGGGGGTAGGAAAATAATTCGCTTCATTTGAAAACAGGCGTTGCAAAGCTTAAGGGAAAAACATCGCGTGGGATGAAGTTCTACGTTTCTCCTTCACAAATGAGGGAAATTGGTGATTAGGGAAAAACAACGATCCCCAACTCTTATCATGTGGGATGAAGTCCTAAGTTTCTCCCTCACAAATGAGGGAAATTGGCGATTAGGGAAAAACAACGATTCCCAACACTTTACTTATTGTGTGGGATGAAGACCTAAGTTTCTCTCTCACAAATGAGTGAAATTGGCGATTAGGGGAAAACAACGATCCCCAACTTTTTACTTTTCGTGTGGGATGAAGTCCTAAGTTTCTCCCTCACAAATGAGGGAAATTGGCGATTAGGGAAAAACAACGATCCCCAACGCTTTACTTATCGCGTGTGATGAAGTCCTAAGTTTCTCCTTCACAAATGAGGGAAATTGGCGATTAGGGAAAAACAACGATCCCCAACGCTTTATTTATCGTGTGGGATGAAGTCCTAAGTTTCTCCCTCACAAATGAGGGAAATTGGCGATTAGGGGAAAACAACGATCCTCAACGCTTTACTTATCGTGTGGGATGAAGTCCTAAGTTTCTCTCTCACAAATGAGGAAAATTGGCGATTGGGGAAAAATAACTATCCCCAACGCTTTACTTATCGTGTGGGATGAAGTCCTAAGTTTCTGCCTCACAAATGAGGGAAATTGGCGATTAGGGGAAAACAACGATCCCCAACGCTTTACTTATCGTGTGGGATGAAGTCCTAAGTTTCTCCCTCACAAATGAGGGAAATTGGCGATTAGGGAAAAACAACGATCCCCAACGCTTTACTTATCGTGTGATGAAGTCCTAAGTTTCTCCTTCACAAATGAGGGAAATTGGCGATTAGGGAAAAACAACGATCCCCAACGCTTTACTTATCATGTGGGATGAAGTCCTACGTTTCTCCTTCACAAATGAGGGAAATTGGCGATTAGGGAAAAACAACGATCCCCAACGCTTTATTTATCATGTGGGATGAAGTCCTACATTTATCCTTCACAAATGAGGGAAATTGGTGATTAGGGAAAAACAACAATCCCCAATGCTTTACTTATCGCGTGTGATGAAGTCCTAAGTTTCTCCCTCACAAATGAGGGAAATTGGCGATTAGGGAAAAACAACGATCCCCAACGCTTTACTTATCGTGTGGGATGAAGTCCTAAGTTTCTGCCTCACAAATGAGGGAAATTGGCGATTAGGGGAAAACAACCATCCTCAACGCTTTACTTATTGTGTGGGATGAAGTTCTAAGTTTCTCTCTCACAAATAAGGGAAATTGGCGATTAGGGAAAAACGATCCCCAACGCTTTATTTATCGCATGGGATGAGATGAAATCCAAAGTTTCTCCCTCACAAATGAGGGAAATTGGCGATTAGGGAAAAACAACGATCCCCAACGCTTTATTTATCGCGTGGGATGAAGTCCTAAGTTTCTCCCTCACAAATGAGGGAAATTGGCGATTAGGGAAAAACGATCCCCAACGCTTTATTTATCGCGTGGGATGATGAAGTCCAAAGTTTCTCCCTCACAAATGAGGGAATTGGCGATTAAGGAAAAACAACAATCCCCAACGCTTTACTTATCACGTGTGATGAAGTCCTAAGTTTCTCCCTCACAAATGAGGTAAATCGGCGATTATTCCTTCCACAGAAGGAGGAGACGAAGGAGGCAACCCAGAGGCAAAGAAAAAGAAAGAGCAGCGGAGGCAAGAGCTGAGGCACTTCTTTCCCGCAGAAAAGAACTACAACTCACCACAACATTGAGGGAAAGCTGAGAAGTTGAGGCTAATCCGCTTTGTGGCTCGTTTTGAAGGAAAAGTGCCCTCTCGAAAACCTGGAGCGAGGTGCTAAAAACCTATCTGTGGCCCAAAGAGGTTGAGGCCATTTTAATTTTGGCCCCTCACTCCTGCCAAGACATGCAGGGCTGCCTTACGTCAAAGCCGTTTCGTTCAACGTCATCTTGGTTTTGAATCGATACTATGAAAACAGTACTCCAAGTGTTCCAACACCAAAGACTCCTTTATAAGAAAGGAACATGGGAAGTACTCATCCGATATACGTGAAACCATTGCAAAAGTGAGGCAAAAGTACAAAAAGTGTGTGTTTGTGTGTGTAGGGGGAAATGGCATCAAAACCGTAATTTATAGGAATTCAATTGACTTCCATTTTTCCTTTTGGAAACCTACATCTCTCTGTGTATGTATAAAACCACAAGTATGTTAACCAGGCATGGCAGAAAATGAGTCGCTTCAGCATGTCAAGTAAATATTAGTGCAGAAAAGGTGGGTTTTCCTTCCCCACGGTATAAATAAGCTTTGCGCATGGCGAACAATTAAATAAACCAGCACACCCAGTACACCGATGCTCTTCAGTGAAGGATTAAAATGCCTTATATCAAGTAATTAAAGTGTATGTAGTGCAAAACAAATGTTACAACCGAGCCTGACGCACATGCTGCTTTGCGCTAGTTTCCACGTCAGGCAAACATGTGGTGCCTGAAATCACGGACATGTTATATGTACATACGTGTCATATTTGGTACAATGTCCTTAAGCCACAGAAATACCCAAGTACTTAATTTCTTTATATATATATATATATACATCAATGTATAAATTCTGCATGTGCATAAGCGCACCCAATTTTACCTTTAAAAAAATTGACCACCATTATCATTTCAGTTAACACAAGCACAGACTGGGGGGAAAAATAATATATATCTACATAAACATGTATAATTAGATCCAAGACCTGCTCCCAGACGCCCCAAGGCTCAGAGAGTTTGTGCTTCTAAGTCGTGCAGTCATTTGTGTGCCCTCTTCTTTTAAGCTCGGCCTTCTTCCGGCTCAGGGAAATAAACCAGACGAGTCCTAAATCTCCCATGTTGGAATAGAGGACATGTGCAGCTAAGGAGAGAAACGCCGGTCGTGTGGCAGGCACTCGTATCCGCTCACAGCCGCCACTCGTCCCATGCAACGGACCGTCAAGAGGAATCCCCTGTTCTCCTCCATGCCCGGGAGGGGACAAACAGGGTTTTTGTATTGAAGACACACATATATAGACACATACACACATATACACACATATATATCCAACCATACCGTGCTTCTTTTCCCATACTCTAAGTGGTAGCAAATCAAGGCACGCTGTACTACTAAATTGGTAGCATTTCGGTTAGCCCATATTGCTCACTGGGGGAGATCCACCGTTTTCAACTGGCCGCTGGGCCTCGCGGGGCCGTACAGAGTTACGGACGCAATGTGATTGTTCTGCATCACCTGGACAGGAAAAACAAAGGAACACAGAGGTAAAAGCTTCTCCAAATTGGCTGCAATTTCCTATAGCTCATTTTTAAAAATTTCATAACATTATTGGGTTGTGTAAGCAGAAAATATTAGGTAGGATTGCATTGGCTGTAACCCCCTATTGTGTAAAAACTGGTTGAAAGTACAGTTCTAATGGACATGTGGTCGTGGTCACACACCTACTGAAGGGTTAAGTGGGTGGCGATGTGGAACTGAAAGGAAAGGCAAAAGAAACTGAGTCATGACCATGTGACTGTTTTAGTCCATCTTTTGATCGTTCCTGCACCTGATCTCACTGGGTAACCTGGGCCTGCTAGCCTGGTGACATTGGGGATTCTGGGTCTGGAAGTCAGCTTTGTTGTTCATTCGTTCAGTCGTCTCCGACTCTTCGTGACCTCATGGACCAGCCCACGCCAGAGCTCCCTGTCGGACGTCACCACCCCCAGCTCCTTCAAGGTCAGTCCAGTCACTTCAAGGATGCCATCCATCCATCTTGCCCTTGGTCGGCCCCTCTTCCTTTTGCCTTCCACTTTCCCCAGCATAATTGTCTTCTCTAGGCTTTGCTGTCTCCTCATGATGTGGCCAAAGTACTTCAACTTTGTCTCTAGTATCCTTCCCTCCAATGAGCAGCTGGGCTTTATTTCCTGGAGGATGGACTGGTTGGATCTTCTCGCAGTCCAAGGCACTCTCAGAACTTTCCTCCAACACCACAGCTCAAAAGCATCGATCTTCCTTCGCTCAGCCTTCCCTAAGGTCCAGCTCTCACATCCGTAGGTTACTACAGGGAAGACCATGGCTTTGACTAGGCAATGGATCTTGGTTGCCAGTCTGATGTCTCTACTCTTTACTATTTTATCGAGACTGGACATTGCTCTCCTCCCAAGAAGTAAGCGTCTTCTGATTTCCTGGCCACAGTCTGCATCTGCAGTAATCTTTGCTCCTAGAAATACAAAGTCTGTCACGGCCTCCACGTTTCTCCCTCTATTTCCAGTTGTCAATCATTCTTGTTGCCATAATCTTGGTTTTTTTGATGTTTAGCTGCAACCCGGCTTTTGCGTTTTCTTCTTTCACCTTGATTAGAAGGCTCCTCAGCTCCTCCTCGCTTTCGGCCATCAGAGTGGTGTCATCTGCATATCTGAGGTTGTTAATGTTTCTTCCAGCAATTTTCACCCCAGCCTTGCATTCATCAGGCCCCGCACATCGCATGATGTGTTCTGCATACAAGTTAAAAAGGTTGGGTGAGAGTATGCAGCCTTGCCGTACGCCTTTCCCAATCTTGAACCAGTCTGTTGTTCCGTGGTCAGTTCTGACTGTTGCTACTTGGTCCTTGTACAGATTCCTCAGGAGAGAGGGAAGGGGGCTTGGTATGCCCATCCCACCAAGAACTTGCCACAATTTATTATGATCCACACAGTCAAAGGCTTTAGAGTAGTCAATGAAGCAGAAATAGGAAGTCAGCAGGAGAGCCAAGATATTTTAAGCCCTGAAAATGAACAGTCTGTGTCTGAAGGCCACATTCCAGAAAGGTGGTTTGCTAGGGAAGCAAGGTCAGAAACTGAACTGAGCTCAGAGGATGAAAATGAAAGTCTAGGTCAGTGGTTCTCAACCTGGGGTCCCCAGATGTTTTTGGCCTACAACTCCCAGAAATTCTAACAGCTGGTAAACTGGCTGGGATTTCTGGAGTTGTAGGCCAAAAACATCTGGGGACCCCAGGTTGAGGACCACTGGTCTAGGTGGACAGACTAATGAGCAGTTAGATAGGTGATTTACGTTTTGTCAACACAGAGCTTCTCTGGAGAGTTTACAAAGGTCAAGACATCTATTAGAAGAAGTCCTTATCAGTTTTCCAGGGAGAAGGCATGATTTTCTGTCTATATTAGCAAGACCAGCAGATTTGTTCATCAGTCTAGACAATGTTGGTGTTTTGAGTATAGAACTTCTGTCAAGTCAAGGGATTTCTAGTTCCGTGTTTCCTTTTGTTCATGTTTCGTGCTTCCAAGTTTTTGAAGACCCTTCCTGAATCTCATGTTTTGGATTTGTTTGGCTCTTATGTTCCTGGTTTTTGATGCTACTCATGTAGTTTGAATTCTGATATTTGGACTTTGGTTTTTTATACTATTTTGCTGAATTGCTTTTCATATACGAGGGGTATTTTTTAAGTAAGGTCCGTTTTGTTGTAGACACTAGTAGTTCGCGCGCATATGGCAACGAGCGCGTGCGTCATGTACCGGCATGCCTCGGGAACAACTGTGCTCAGTTTCCGCTCTGTAGCTAACCTGTACGGTTCTGTTCTGTGCTTCAAAAATGTTTAAGACTATCAACTCACCCTCCGCATGTGAGGTTCGCTCAGTGATACGTTTTTGTCAGCAAGGAACCTGCCTGCTGCAGAAATTCATCGACAGATTTGTGAAGTGTACGGTGATACTGTTATGAGTGAAAGCAAAGTGCGTAAGTGGGTACGACAATTCAAAGATGGCCGTGACAACGTCCATGATGAGGACCGCTCCAGTCACCCTTCTTTGATTACAGACGATTTGGTGGCTTTTGGTGGCGGCAAGTTTTTATGAAGAGGGTATTTTAAAATTGGTTCAGAGGTATGATAAGTGTTTGAACAAACTTGGCAACTATGTCGAAAAATAGAGTGAAGTATGTACTTTCTGAAAATAAATTTACTTTTTTGAAATAAACTTTCGTTGTGTACTTATGTTCCAACGGACCTTACTTAAAAAATACCCCTCGTATACATGCTTGTGCCATTCCTATCATATATTTTATAATATTTGCCCAATTTTTATTACAAACCTTCCTTCTATTTTGGGGTCACATAAGTATTTCTTGGGTGGAAAACAGAAGGGGAAAACACTGAAGATACCCAGATCTATGCTATGCTATGGGGATGTAGAATTGAAGCCTGAATGCTGTTGCTGTGCGCCTTGAAGTCATTTCCAACTTACAATCACCTCAACATAAAAGAATTCCAGCACAGGAACATGGAGGAATGTCTAATGCAAATCATGGGTTTTATCTCCTAGCATGTCCTGTTTCCAAAGGAGCTCAGAAATACAGCCAATATTTCAGGTGATGTATTGTCGAAGGCTTTCATGGCCGGAATCAATGGGTTGTTGTAGGTTTTTTTGGGCTATATGGCCATGGTCTAGAGGCGAAATGTCAGGAGAGAATGCCTCTAGACCAGTGTTTCTCAACCTGGGGGTCGGGACCCCTGGAGGGGTCACCAGGGGGTGTCAGAGGGGTCACCAAAGACCATCAGAAAACACAGTATTTTCTGTTGGTCATGGGGGTTCTGTGTGGGAAGTTTGGCCCAATTCTATCATTGGTGGGGTTCAGAATGCTTTTTGATTGTAGGTGAACTATAAATCCCAGCAACTACAACTCCCAAATGTCAAGGCCTATTTTCCCCAAACTCCACCAGTGTTCACATTTAGCATACTGAGTATTCATGCCATATTTGGTCCAGATCCATCATTGTTTGAGTCCATAGTGCTCTTTGTAGGTGAACTACAACTCCCAAACTCAAGGTCAATGCCCACCAAACCCTTCCAGTGTTTTCTGTTGGTTGTGGGCATTCTGTGTGCCAAGTTTGGTTCAATTCCATCCTTGGTGGAGTTCAGAATACTCTTTGATTGTAGGTGAACCATAAATCCCAACAACTACAAATCCCAAATTATGTTTCATAACAGGAGAAAAAGTAATTTAAAAGTAAGTTATGAATTAGCAAAAGAATGTTATGGTTGGGGGTCACCATGACATGAGGAAATGTATTGAGGGGTCGCGGCATTAGGAAGGTTGAGAAACACTGCTCTAGACTATGGCCATATAGGCCGAAAAAACCTACAACAACCCATTTCAGGTGATCACAAACAAAACTGAAATGTGACTTCCCTTCTTCATTTGCTTCCCATACCTCAAAGATCATCCGCTGCAGCCAAAACAAAACGTCGATCCAAATGGGTTTGTGTTGTTTGGAGAGGACGACCTGGGAAAAAACAAAACAAAACAAAACATAAGCCAGACATAAGAGATTCCAAAGAAAACAAGTGAGAAAGTGAGCAGACATTTCTGGAACGTATTTTAACAACCTAAGCCTAATACATGCTTTTAATGGATTCCAATTGCATCTGTGAAGCTTTCAAGAGGTCTCGGAAAGATTTGAAAGGGTTTTGTTTCCTTAAGTCAGGCCTATCCGACCTCCTTGCTCCACGTTACAGGTGCAAACTGTTGGTTTGGAAATTGGTTTCCTGAAACTTCTTGTGTAGGAGCCTATCCTTTCCACAGCAAATCTTCTGTTTACAACCCTTAAAACCTTTTTATTTTGTTAACTAAGGTACTGTTGGGGTTCAGCAGCAAGGTTCCCTGGAGGAAGAAGGGGATGATGGGTTTCCCATTGACGAGTCTGTGTGTGATCAGAGTGATTTGCAGGCCTCAGAGAGAAGTGATGCAAGTTGCAGAGGAAACAGGGGATGTTTATGTCATTTTTATCCCGCTCATTTCAGCCCGAAGGCTGAAAGTTTGAACATTCAGCCTAAGTTGGGAACGGGTTGGAAACCACATTTTACATCATTAGGACTCTCTTTCTGGTAGCAACTTGAAATCCAATTAGACTTCAATCCAAGTGACAGAGAAGATCTTTACCTGTGAAGTACTACCGGTTTCTCTACTGGATGTCCAAGAAGGTCCTGAATACTGTCCCACTGTAAGAAAATGAAAATGTCTTAGAGAATGGAATGCTTTAAGAAAAGCCAGGGGAAAATTAGTGCATTTTGAGACTTCAGAATTTGGGCTTCTTAGCAATGATCCTCACTGGTGGAATACTCTTCCAGGCGAATAGGTTTTTCAGCTGAATATGGAGCCATTCCAGAGCTGTCACTTTAGGCTATGAATTTGTTAACAGCAGCACAGCACGCCACCCAACATTTGAAAGAAAGGTGCAACAGTATCTGTAGAAAATGGGGTTCATTTCTCCAGGTAAAATGTTTATGACCCAACAGGATATTATTACTTTTTTCCCAATCAATCAATGATTTATTATGGTCTGTGACCAGCACAACATAGAATGGGGCACAGGTGCCCAAGGAAAGGGAATCGCAGTTCCCAAGTAGATCAGATACAGTTATAAAAAGATATTATTACATTATTACTACTTTAAAATAAAGGTAAATGTTTCCCTTTGACATTGAGGCTAGTTGCGTCTGACTCTGGAGAGTGGTGCTCATTTCCATTTCAAACCATTCCAAAAGCCTCTAGAAAGGGATCATGAAACATAATGTTCAAACTTTATGATTTACTAGCTGTACCCGCTACGCGTTGCTGTGCCCAACCTTCCCTCTTTCTCTCCTTCTTTCCTTCTCTCCCTCTTTCCTTCCTTCCTTCCCGTCTTTCCTTCTCTTCTTCCTTCCTTCTCTATCTCTTTCCTTCTTTCCCCCCTTTTCTTTCTCTTCTGCTGTTTTCTTCCTTCTCTCTTTCCTTCTTTCTCTCCCTCTTTCTCTATATCTTACCCTCTTCCTTCCTCCCTCTTCCTTCCTTTCCTTTTTCTTTCCTTCTCTCCTTCCTTCCTCTCTTTTCCTTCCTTCCCCTTTTCTTTCCCTTCCTCTTTCTCTCCTTTCTTCCTTCTCTATCCTTCTTTCCTTCCTTCTCTTTGCTTCCCCTTCCTTCTCCCTTTCTTTTCTTTCTTTCTTTCCTCCCTTCCTTCCTTCCTTCCTTCCTTCCCTCCTTCCTTTTTCTCCCTTCCCTCCCCCTTTCTTCCGTATTGTCACTTAGCTTTTCGACATTTAGCTTTTTGGAGCTTTTATGTCCCTTCTGCTGCGTTTTTCAGTGTTTTTTTGAGTGAAGGACATACATTGCGTTGTTAGGTGTCTTGTGTCCAAATTTGGGGGCAATTCCCCCAGTGGTTTTTGAGTTCTGTTAATCCCACAAACGAACATTACATTTTTATTTATATCGATTGATTTGGTGAAAATAAGATCTCTCAAAGTTTCAGAGCTGCATTATCTCGGGTTGTGCCTTACCTTGCTGTATGTTGTGCAGGTTTCCATCTGTGAATCAGTACTTTCTGTGAGAAAAGGACAAAACATTCTTCAGGAAAGGTAATATTTCAGCTCTATGTTCTTTAGTACTCAATAATAATAACAGAGTAAAATAATAAATAACTTTGACTCAAGTATAAGCCAAGGGGGGCTTTCTAAGCCTAAAAAGGGGCTGAAAATCTCGGCTTATACACTAGAATTCAAGGGTTCAAATTCCCATTTGGCCATGGAAATCCCTGTATGGCCATGCAGAAATCACACCCACTCAATCTCAGAGAAAGCTACAGTGGTGCCCTCGCTATCCACTGGGGTTTGGTTCCAGGACTCCTCTGTGGATACCAAAATCTGTGGAGGCTCAAGTCCCTTTATGTGCAGTAAATGGAGACCCTTGTTGTACAGGAATTGATTATAAATTGTATGATTTTAACTGTATTTGTGTTTAGATTGGCTGCAGTAATGCTGGAGCGGCCTAAGTCAGAGGAGTCCTCCATGTGCGTTGCCATGGAGACCGATGCAGGAGAGAGGGAAGTGGGAGGAGCTTAGAGGGGAGAGTTTGAAAAAACGACAGTTAAAAATCAGTTAGGGTTTAGGTTTAGAGGAGTGAGCAGTCAGAAGTTAGGTTCAGAGGAGTGAGGAGTTGGGAGAGAAGGAAAGGAAAGGTGACGGAGTGACTTGTGAAGCAAAACTTTGAGGCTTTGAAAAGCTGGGTTTGGCTATTGGAAGTTTCTCAGGCTAGTGCAGCCGAATGGTGAAACAGAGCTGGTATTCTTTTAGTCTAAGGAGAGGCTAAAGAATAGTTTACTTAGTATTTGATCTAGGGAGGATCAACTAAGGGAAACATCCCTGTATGGAAACTTTGTCTGAAACAAGTGCTCTACGTCAGAAAGATACTGTGTTACTTGAAAGAATGAACTGTTAAAGTTACAAGTATTATTCCAAGTGCAACAAGGAAAAGTTACGTCTTGCAACCACACGCTGTGTACTTAATAAAATTGTTAACTTTTATTTGAAGATTGCCTCAGCTCCGTCTATTCTGTGTACAAAGTGCCATTTCTCACAATATTACAACTTACCTCACGTGGTGGCAGAAACGTAGGGAAAAGTAACCAAATAAATCTACATTCTTCTCTCCAGTCACGCTACAGTATATACAGTGTAATTACTACTGAGTTATTATTTTCTTAATAAAGGAGGAGGTGCAATTGAACAGCCTCCCTTCCAACTTGATAATAAATTTGGTTCCTAATCGGCAACCTCCATTGCAAATCGGCTAAGTCTTTTTAAAATTGGGAACTGGGGTAAAATCTCCTGAATACCGGTTCCTTTCAAATTGGTGGCAACAATAAATCATCCCTCTGCTCCCCTGCTTCTTTTCACTTGTACGTATAACATGGAAAAAAATCAAAGTTTGCTTTAAAATATATATATTTTCAAGCCGTGAATGGTTGAATCTGTGGATGCAGGATCCATGGATACGGAGATCTAACTGCAAAGGCAAACTCAATCTGAACAAATCTTGCAACAACAACAAAACCATGATAAGCTCCCCTTAGAGTTGCTGCAAGTCAAAAGTGACCTGAAGACACATAAACAACAAACAAGTATAGGACAATGAATTGGGATCGGCTTTCCTGGAAAGTACGGACAATGCTTATTTGTGGCTCTTTAAAGAGAACACTTTGTTATGATGACGAGAAATGTATGACCTTCCAGATGTTGGTTGTCAGCCGCTCCCATGATTCTTTGAACTAGACACATCTGAGCGAAGCTCTGGGATAAAAACACCCAGAAGGCAATTGCATTTACATGAGACCTGGTCTGAGTTAGAGCCATTCTGGCTTCAGACTCACTGAAAATTTAACAACTCGAAGTTTGCTTTGAAAGTGGAAACAACTGCTGAGTAATAATATCCAGAGATATGAGAGAGACGCAATCGGAGAGGTTGAGAAAGACTTTCTCAGCACATACAGACAACCGAAGCCTGTTTCCTTGTCCTACATACCACTGGAGCATCGCAGTGCACCCAAATACCTGGGAGTTACCCTGGACCGTGCTCTGACCTACAAGAAGCACTGCCTGAACATCAAGCAAAAAGTGGGTGCTAGAAACAATATCATACGAAAGCTGACTGGCACAACCTGGGGATCACAACCAGACACAGTGAAGACATCTGCCCTTGCGCTATGCTACTCTGCTGCTGAGAATGCATGCCCAGTGTGGAACACATCTCACCACGCTAAAACAGTAGATGTGGCTATGTAATAATAATAATAATAATAATAATAATAATAATAATAATGTGAGAAGGTTCTCCACTGTGCATGTGGCAGGGCACAGACTGCATTGTAGGAAATGGTCTGTGGTTTGCAGACTCTCCTTTGTGGGCCCATTTTTTAAGGTTGGCTCTGCATCTCGTGGTGCCAGAGCGCAGTCTGTTCAGCGCCTTCCAAGTCGCCCAGTCTGCTGTGCCCAGGAGGGAGTTTATCATCCAGTCTCAGCCACTGATTGAGGTTTTGGGTTTTGCCTGCCACTTTTGGACTCTCGCTTGCTGAGGTGTTCCTGCAATATCTCTAGATCTTAGAAAGCTATTTCTTGATTTAAGGCATTGGTGCTGGCTGATATCAAACAGAGGATGGGCTGGAGATGTCACTGCCTTGGTCCTTTCATTATTGGCTGCATATTGGCTAGACAGTGTAATTTCTCCAGTGGTGTAGGGTGCAGACACCCTGTGATAATGTGGCATGTCTCATTAAGAGCCACATCCACTGTTTTAGCGTGGTGATATGTGTTCCACACTAGGCATGCATACTCAGCAGCAGAGTAGCAAAGTGCAAGGACAGATGTCTTCACTGTATCTGGTTGTGATCCCCAGGTTGTGCCGGTGAACTTTCTTATATTATTTCTAGCACCCATTTTTTGTGTGGTAGTAAAGCAGTGCTTCTTGTAAGTCAAAGCTTGGTCCAAGGTAACTTGCAGCATGTGTTTTATGATAGAACCAATTAGGAAATGACATTGATAACCCAGGAACCAAAATCGTATTAAAAAGAGGTAAAGGTTGCCCCCTGACATTAAGTCCAGTCATGTCTGACTTTGGGGTGTGGTGCTCATCTCCATTTCTAAGCTGAAGAGCCAGCGTTGTCCATAGACACCTCCAAGGTCATGTGGCCGGCATGACTGCATGGAGCGCCGTTACCTTCCCACGGAGCGGTACCTATTGATCTACTCACATTTGCATGTTTTCGAACTGCTAGGTTGGCAGAAGCTAGGGCTGACAGCGGAAGCTCACACCGCTCCCCGGGATCGAACCTGTGACCTTTTGATCAACAAGCTCAGCAGCTCAGTGCTTTAACCCACTGCGCCACCGGGGGGGGGGGGGGGGGCAAAATCTTATTATTATTATTATTATTTGAAACACAACAAGATGAGTCCACAGTAGACACTCTGCTGCCCGTTGTATTGGATCACACGTCGGACACTTCCCAAGTGTCTAAGACTGTGTGATGTATCAGCGAATAATCCGTGCAAATCCCAGTAGGGTAGCCTTCTGCAGCGGGCAGATGGTAATCTTGTCAGCGCCGATTGTGTTTAAGTGCAGGCCAAGGTCTTTAGGCACTGCACCAGTGTGCCAATCACCACTGGGACCACCTTTACTGGTTTGTGCTACAGTCGATCTTTAAATCCTCTTATCGTGTCATCTTTTCCAGTTGTTTCTCTGAAATCCTGCTGTCACCTGGGATTGTGACATCGACAATCCATACTTTGTTTTTTAACATGATTGTGAGGAGTATTATGCTCCAAAACTCTGTCTGTATGAATCCGGAAGTCCCAGAGGAGTTTGGCGTGTTCATTCTCTGTAACTTTTTCCGGCTTGTGATCCCACCAGTTCTTTGTCGCAGGCAGATGGTATTTGTGGCACAAGTTCCAATAATCATCTGAGCAATGGTGTTGTGCCTCTGCTTGTAGTCTGTCTGCGTTATCTTCTTGCAGCAGCTTATTATTATTATTATTATTATTGACACAAAAGCACAGTATGTCATAGCAAACGAGATCTATATGCTGGATTTCGTATCACAAAATCACAAGTTGAACACTTCCCAAGCATCTAGGACTGATTATTATTATTATTATTATTATTATTATTATTATTATTATTTCCCTCCCTCCCAAAGGGTTGGTGGTTCTTCCCCCCTTTCTCCACATTGCTAATTGATAAATCCACAGAGGGATTAACTTGAACCCGAAGATGTCAGTCCACTTATCTGTTACTGCACAACTCTGGACTTTGTCTCACTACTAAGCATGCCTGCAAAGTCATCACACATTCCTATCAGCATTCAAGCTTTTCCAGGCTGTATTACTTCTTACCTCGTTTAATTGCTAGTGGGATCTTGAATTCACAGCGGTGATAACTATGAAAAGTGAAAAGGCAGATTGTTATTTTGGAAAAGCATGACATTTTAGAGATTATAACCTTTTGGAAAACCAGGACTCTCAATAGCCTTTTGGAAGCACAACCCATTTGGAGATTAACTGGCATTTTACTGATCTTTTACATTTGAAATTTTCCTATTTTTACAAGCATTTCTTTCTACTTGCTATTTTACTCAGCTTCAATTAAAAAGATTGGTTTTTCACTCATTGTGTGGTGTGTTTTAAAGCCAGAGCGTATCATTTCTGTTCTGGAGTGCAACAAACACTGAAAAACAGGGGAATTCCAGACAAGAAACAATCAGGGACAGCTAATCGCCTCCCAACAAATGATTCCCCCAGGCAAGAAGCAGCCAAACCTGCAAGGCTATTTAATGCTAATCAAGTTGACTAATTGCAACATTCACACTTGCCTCAAAGAGACAAGATGTTATGGCTCAGTTTGACTCTGAGTCTAAAGCTGACCCCTGTGGGCTTTGTGAGCCAGAGTTCCTACAAGATGACGAGGAGGATGATGGGTTACAGATTTCTGTACATGCTTCAGACAGGGTTGACAGTGAGGCTGCTGAAGGGGAAACAGCAAGTCAGTTCTCAGGGGAAAGGAATGTTAGTGAGACTGATAACACTGTTCAACGGAGAAAAAGTTGCGGTCCTGAAAATAGTTGTTCTTTTATGATTTTGGGGTGCTGAAAACGAAAATGACATTTAAAAATGTATATTGGCTCTAGTTTTTATGATATAAGCAATCACGTGATCACGTATGGTTGAAAAAAACGCATGTTGCGACTTACACTATGGAAGATTCTAGAATATTCTAGAAAGTTTGATGACGCAGTATTAGTGCCGTGTGCAAAAGCCAGAAAGCCCTCTATAAGGCCAGACTTTTGAACGGTGAGGGTCAGTCAGTTGAAGACTGAGACAGTATCATTAAATATCGTTTTACATTTGTTCTTTTTACTGTAGTTATGCCTCACACGTGTGTAAATAAAGCACTATGGAAAAAAGATATCAAAGCCAATGGACTCCGTCAATGCTGTCAGACTCCTGCTGGAGCATTGTAAGAGATAATCCTTTCCTTGAATACAAAAGAAAAGTCAAGAGAAGCCAACAGGATATAAACTAAAGTCACGATTAAAGCGACATTTAAAACTCCAGACTTTTCAACTGCATTAGGCCTACTAATATAGTTTCTTGCTGCACAAACATAAACAATAGACTAATTAAATAAATATTTCTCATGTATAAACTATTGGCAATATAATTTGACTAAAATTTAGTAAATATTCACGGTTTATATACATGCAGTAAGGTTAGGTGCATTATCATAATATTAACGAATTACCTATTGTGGAGAAAATTGAAATAGCTGTTGCATAAAAACCAGAGCCAATTAACACATTTAATTATTATATTTGAATTCAGCATGTTAAATTTATTAAGAAACGGCACATTTCGTTTCCGAAACTGAGAAAAACTGGAAATTTGTAGAACAGTGTAATGAGAGTGAATTCCCACACGGCCAGGTGGAGATTTCTTTGCCTCCTTTGCCTTCCCACAGTGATAGGGTCCAGCTGCAGGACCAAGATAAGGGGTTAGAGAGCCTTGAAGATAATGAATCAATGAGCAGGCAAGATCGTCTGCAATTAAGAGTCCGGAGAAGCTCTTGCTTGGCTAGTAAGCGAGAAGCCAAGTATGCCAAAGGTCATCGCAATGCGTTCATGTCTTCAAAGAGTATTTAGCCTTCTCGCTGACACACAGTGGTTGCCAGTTTAACGTAGCTCTTTCCATGCAAATTTTTATGGATTAACCTTGGCTTTAAGCAGCACGCTTCTGGCTTCCTGAGTCTAGGATTTTGGGTCTTGTGTTCATCTGTTTTTCCATGGACTATTGTTTGACCATTGCTTAAAGGATTATGCTTCATGTTTTTGCCTTTGGATCTTGGGAACTGTGTCTTTGCATTTAAGCCTTATGGAACTTTTGTATTCTTCATGCTATGTTTTGATTTTGCCTTTTTCTCAATAAACTACAAAATCTACAGCTTTGGTGTGGTGGTGTTTGGGAGCAAAGTGAAAACTACCCTGAGTTGCAACACAAGAGTCCTTTCTCCTACCCTGGGCATTCCACAGATATATAAACATCACTTGCCTAGTTTCCAACACACCTCACAACCTCTGAAGATGCCTGCCATAGATGTGGACGAAACGTCAGGAGAGAATGCTTCTGGAATATGGCCAGACAGCCTGGAAAACTCACAGCAATCCAGTGATTCCAGCCATGAAAGCCTTTGACAACACATTGCTCCATACATTGGCCATCTCATCTGATGGAAACTCAACATCCCAAACATATTCTTAGAGCTCATAATCAATGCGTGTGTTTGCAAACCGAGGCCATACTCACATGTTGAAGTTATAATGACCCGGGTAATTCGTATGCAGAACAAATTTCTTCACTTTGTGGGTGTTTGCATCAAAAAGGATATCCTGTGAAGGGTGAAAATGGGGAAAGAGATGGAAGTTGAGTCGAGGATGATTAATTCAAAACAATGAAACAACATCATGGGAGTTAGGGAGTTACTGGCTGTTAGGAATTGTGGGAGTTGAAGTCCACAACACCTGGAGGGTCCAAGTTGGCCCATGCCCGGTCTACACTGACCATATAATGCAGTTCAATCTTCACTCTTAATTGCATAGGGGCCTCATTGTTTCTGCTTTAGTCCATTTGACTGTTGAACAAGCCAGGCAAAGGCTTATCCTCTCTCCAGAGCATTTCTGAATCCGGTGAAGCAAATTACATTCTGCAAACGTTTAATATCAAATACGTGAAAATGAGCTCCCTGAGACCCCAGGAGCAGAAATGCACCACTAACTAAACACGCAAATGTGGAAAAGGAGAAGGTTCAGCGATCTCGGCAATGGAGCTCTGGAGGATTTGAACAATATTCACTCCGACGCTCAAAGATTATGAGTATTATCAAAACAGAAGATAAAATGGAAGGAAAGCAGGATGGGTATCAAAGCCGTTGACTCACCACTCCAAGCGTGAAGTAGTTGAAAAAGTAGTCATTGCACTTTGAAGGTACTTGCTTATGAGGAGAAGGCGAATGGATTTTCATCTATAAATAAAGAACGGAAAAATGCCAGAGGCACTTCAGTTTTTTGAAGAGGGAGACAAAGAGATTTTAAATACACAACCATTGCTATCCAACTTCATTTATTTATTTATCGTGTCAGGAGCAACCAGACAGTTGTATTACATTTTTAACAAAACAAACAAACAGACAGACAGACAAAACACAAAGTTTGCAAGCTTGGTAGTTGATTAAATGTCCTTTGACCAGTATCTGGCCACTTGGAGTGCCTCTGGTGTTGCCGCAAGGAGGTCCTCCATTGTGCATGTGGCAGGGCTCAGGTTGCATTACAGCAGGTGGTCAGTGGTTTGCTCCCCTCCACACTCGCATGTCGAGGATTCCACTTTGTAGCCCCATTTCTTAAGGTTGGCTCTGCATCCCGTGATGCCAGAGCGCAGTCTGTTCAGTGCCTTCCAAGTGTGCCCAGGGGGGAGTCTCTCATTTGGTATCAGCCATTGATTGAGGTTCTGAGTTTGAGCCTGCCACTTTTGGACTCTTGCTTGCTGGGGTGTTCCAGCAAGTGTCTCTGTAGATCTTAGAAAACTATTTCTTGATTTAAGTCGTTGACGTGCTGGCTGATACCCAAACAGGGGATGAGCTGGAGATGTCACTGCCTTGGTCCTTTCACTATTGGCTGCTACTTCCTGGCGGATGTCAGGTGGTGCAATACCGGCTAAGCAGTGTAATTTCTCCAGTGGTGTAGGGCGCAGACACCCCGTGATAATGCGGCATGTCTCATTAAGAGCCACATCCACTGTTTTAGTGTGGTGAGATGTGTTCCACACTGGGCATGCATACTCAGCAGCAGAGTAGCATAGCGCAAGGGCAGATGTCTTCACTGTGTCTGGTTGTGATCCCCAGGTTGTGCCAGTCAACTTTTGTATGATATTGTTTCTAGCGCCCACTTTTTGCTTGATATTCAGGCAGTGCTTCTTGTAGGTCAGGGCACGGTCCAGAGTAACTCCCAGGTATTTGGGTGTGCTGCAATGCTGCAATTCAACTTTATAAAGACACTACTCTGGTTTGAATGGACTGAGGACACTAAGGTAGAAATGAGAAATGTCTCCAGCCCCATTACAGATAATGGACTGAATCCAGCTTTAATCTTGCTTTATGTTGGAACTCAACCACATTCTGCACAAGGTTATAGTCCTCATCAAGGACTTAGATAGGCAGATGAGTTAGGTGGAAGGGAAAGGCCTTCCTCCATTGGCCTCTCTGTCTGCCTCCTGTGAGTATGGAGAGAGACAAGATGTCTGCTGCGAGTTATTTGGATAGACAGGCCCTGTTAACTTTCCTATCTAGTAGGCATGAGCAATCCATGGTTCTAAAGTACTTACAAAACTAGGGAGGGTTGGTGCTTTGCTTCCAAAGTGTTTCTAAAGTTCTGGTGGTGAAAATTTCAGAACTTACAGAACAAGGGGGCGCTGGTGCTTTGCCTCTAAAGTATTTCTAAAGCTGGTGCCTTGCTTCTAAAGTGTTTCTAAAGTTCTGGTGGTGAAAATGTCATTATAAATGGCAGTTCCTAATTGGTTCTGTCATAAAAATTGCCAGTAACGAAATAATAATGAAAGTTTTGTTAGACTTCTGAAATTTACACCACCAGAACTTTAGAAACATTTCGCTTGCATAGATGCAGGCGAAACGTCTGGAGAAAATGTCTCTAGAACATGGTCATATAACCTGGAAAAACCTACAACAACCCACTTTAGAAACACTTTAGAAACAAAGCTTATCCAACATAAACAGGCCGGGAGAATGTTGGATAAGTGAAAATGTTGTATAATAAGGAAGGAGTAAGGAAAAGCCTATTAAACGTCAAATTACATTATGATTACGTTATGATTTTACTAATTAAGCACCAAAACATCATGTTTTACAACAAATCGACAGAAAAAGCAGCGCAATACACAGTAATGTTATGTAGTAATTACTGTATTTACGAATTTAACAGCAAAACAGACAAGGGTTCTTTCTTCCTCTCACGCTGGACTGCATTGGATAATGCAGAACGTTGGATAAGCGAAGGTTGGGTAAGCGAGACTCTACTGTATTACATTTATTCTTCCACTCTTCTATTCTTCTACTCTTTTACTATTATTATTGCATGTAATATTTTACTCTATTTATCATTGTTATTATTTCATTTATTGGGTTGCTGTGAGTTTTCCGGGCTGTATGGCCATGTTCCAGAAGCATTCTCTTCTGATGTTTCGCCCACATCTATGGCAGGCATCCTCAGAGGTTGTGAGGTCTGTTGGAAACTAGGCAAGTGGGGTTTATATATCTGTGGAATGTCCAGGGTGGGAGAAAGAACTCTTGTCTGTTTGAGGCAAGTGTGAATGTTCCAATTGGTCACCTTAATTAACATTGAATAGCCTTGCAGCTTCAAAGCCTGGCTGCTTCCTGTCTGGGGGAATCCTTTGTTGAGAGGTGTTAGCTGGCCCTGATGGTTTCCTGTCTGGATTTCCCATTTACTGAGTGATGTTCTTTATTTTTTTAATAATCTATTGAAAATTTTCCATAAAAAACATTTAAAATCCTTAAGGTGAAATAATAAGCAAAGTGATCTAGTATAAGATGAGAAAGAAGAGGAAAGCAGGGAAGGAGAAAAGAGAAAAGAGAGAAGAAGAAGAGGAGAAGAAATAATGAAATAGATTTTTTGACATCTGGGTATCTTCTTTGAGGCTTTCTCCTTTTCCTTCATTCTCTCTTTCTTCTTGCTTCCCCTTTTTCTCCATCCTGGTATGCTTACTTTTCCTCCTTATATCAATATTTCATTTTTATTTCTTTTTAAATATTCTGTAACTGAGTTCCAATTCGTTTCTTTTTTAGAGTTTTCTTTATTTTTGGAGATCAGAAATGAAAGTTTGTCCATATTTCTTATATCTTGAATTTTTATCATCCAGTCTTCCTCTTCTTTCCCAATTTTCTGTGGTGTCATATACCACCTATATGCCATCTTTATCCAATTTTCTTTCAAATCTATTGCACAAGTAAATTTTAATTTTTTATTCCATATTTCTTCCCATTCTTCTTTTCTAATATTCCTTCCTATATTTTCTTTCCATCTTTTCATATATTTCTTTTCATTTTCCCTATTTACTGTCCTGTAAACAGGGGAATTCCAGACAGGAAACCATCAGGGTCAGCTAACACCTCCCAACAAAGGATTCCCCCAGGCAGGAAGTAGCCAGGCTTTGAAGCAGCAAGGCCATCCAATGCTAATCAAAGGTGGCCAATTGCAACATTCACACTTGCCTCCAACAGACAAGACTTCTTTCTCCCACCCTGGACATTCCAGAGATATATAAACCCCACTTGCCTCGTTTCCAACAGACCTCACAACCTCTGAGGATGCCTGCCATAGATGTGGGCGAAATGTCAGGAGAGAGTGCTTCTGGAACATGGCCAGACAGCCCGGAAAACTCACAGCAACCCAGTGATTCTGGCTATGAAAGCCTTCAACAACACTCTGAGATATTCAATGAAAAATTATAGCAAAATTTGCTACAGGATGTCCCTTTTGCAAAGGCCAAGTTTTTGCAGTTTAATACACTTTTTTCATGTTGTTATGATAGAACCAATTAGGAAATGGCATTTATAACTCCTAAACAAAACTTGTGTTACATAGTGTTATTAGATGCTTTAGTAATCTAATAAGAACAATAATCTGTACTGATGTATGATTTCCTCTGACCTTATCTTCTGACTTGTAGAAAACTTTGTGAGGAGATCCCAAGGTGCTCAGCACATCTTGGCACGAATCACCGAAATACACGCAGCGCTCAAATACCCGCATCTTGGCATCCGCTAATACGCCAGGGCCGCATCCTAAAGGAAACAGGCGAAACAGAACCAGGTTATTTCCAGTTTACATACATACATACAGCTGTCCCCTGCCACGCATTGCTGTGGCCCAGTTTGTTTCTAATATATGTAAAGTCTTTAGGCTTGTGGGTAAACAGTATTTCTTGTTGTTTCTTTGTCAGTGTTGACCAAAGAGTCTGAAATGCTGCTCTCCTCCCTACACAGCAAACCTGATTTCATTATGAGTCTGGAACCAAATAAAGCAGACCAGAGTCCTTTCCAATACACATGCAGTCTGGGAAAAGTCAAAGGAAAGTATTGAAGATATAGCTTGTTGTTCTGTATCTGCATTATACCCAGATGGCCACCCATATGTTTATGCCTTAATAAGGGAATAAATACTTCTGCCCAAATATTCTACCTGCAGTGAGTAAGCGGAGCCGTAAACCTGAGGGCCCAGCTCCATCTCTCAGAACGTCAACGCTCTCTGCATACACATTTCCAAGGAAACAGCTGAGGGGCATCGGAGGAGCCCTGAAAAAGAAAGGAAAATCATAAACAACAATAAGGCCACACAGAAGGGAGAGCAAGGAAATTGAGTTCTTCAATGTTATCGAGCTTCGTTCACTCCAGTCTCTGGATTAATAAACTTTAATGGGAATGATTGTTGCAACCCAGATCAGGAAACAAGACCATAAGATATTAATCCACCACACTTGACTGTGGGAAAAAAACAATCCTTTTTTATTGATGAAAAATGGTTACAAAATAGAGGAAAAGACAAAGTCAAAAAGCCACAGTAAAATTCAGCAGTCAGGAATATCTCTGAACTAGATCAAAATTCCAAAAGTAACACTATAAAAACCTGGAACCTGTTAGCATTTCACTAACCGTACTTGGAAACTAGAAGCCTCTGGGAATGCAGGTCATGGGAAACGGGAAATCTGCCAAGGTATTGCCTCAGTCTAAACGATGCTTGATCTAACGAGACAGCCCGGGGAGAGACACTTTAAACTAAAGAAACTGTTTCGGGACACGCCTCCAGGCTTTGAAGCCTGTGCCTCCCTTTCCTTTAATCTGATTGACCTTCGCAGACTCTGCGATTCACTCCAGCTTTTCCAAATCTGTCCTTTTCTATCCTCATTAAAAAAGGCAGGTGCTAGCTCCTCTGGAGAGCTATCGCCGCTTGATTCTGAAACATTCCCATCAGGAAATGTAGTTTCACTTTCCAAGCCACTGACCTCAGAATCAACAGTTTCCAAACCATCAGGGGAAAAAACATGTTCAGTAGCCTGTTCAGTTGCATCAGGAAATACAATCAGAGAATCAGGTTCAGCACATTTTGAAGCACATTTAAATATTATACACCTTTTTATATTTATCTCTCAAAAATGTGCATTTTAATGGTAAATACGCCCCATCTAAAAATTATTCAACTTTTAGATTTGTCATATGTCTAATATGGCATCTGGTTTTTAAATTATTAAAATTTAAATTATTTTTATTGTTTAAATCCATTGTAATGTAAGCCACCCAGAAATTAAGTCCCGTTTTCAAGATTATGTATATGGAAATATTCCTATCTATCTATCTATCTATCTATCTATCTATCTATCTATCTGTTTAAACCCATTGTAATGTAAGCTACCCAGAAATTAAGTCCCATTTTCAAGATTATGTATATGAAAATATTCCAAAACCTACCTACCTACCTATCTATCTATGCACATAATAAAAGTGAAAATATGTATGTATGTGTGTAGCTGGGGTGTCTACTTCCACAGACAGGCTCCTACTTCCACAAATACCTGTAACTCCCATACTCAGGGGACACCAATGGCCCTCCCTCCAATGACATAAAAAAGAGCAACACTAAGAAAAACAGGGGAATTCCAGACAGGAAATTATCAGGGCCAGCTAACACCTCCCAACAAAGGATTCACCCAGGCAGTAACCAGTCAGCATTTAAAACTGCAAGGCTATTCAATGCTAACCAAGATGACCAATTGCAGCATTCACACTTGCCTCAAACAGACAAGGGTTCTTTCTCCCACCCTAGACATCATTCCACAGATAGATAGATAGATAGATAGATAGATAGATAGATGTGTGTGTGAGTGCGGGTGTGTGTGTGTGTATATATATATATATATATATATGTATGTATGTATAGTATACTTGCCTAATTTCCAACAGACCTCACAACTTCTGAGTATGTCTGCCATAGATGTAGGTGAAGCATCAGGAGAGAGTGCTTCTGGAACTTGGATTCCCCCAGGCAGCAACCAGCCGGGCTTTGAAGCTGCAAGGCTATTCAATGCTAATCAAGGTGACCAATTACAACATTCACACTTGCGTCAAACAGACAAGGGTTCTTTCTTTCACCTTGGACATCATACCACAGATATATAAGCCCACTTGCCTAGTTTTCAACAGACCTCACAACCTCTCAAGATTCCTGCCACAGATGCAGGCAAAACGTCAGGAGAGAATGCTTCTGGAACATGGGCGTACAGCCCAGAAAACTCACAGCAACCCAAGGAGACAATCAATTGATATTTAATAATAATAATAATAATAATAATAATAATAATCTTTATTTATATCCCACCACCATCTCCTCAAAGGGGACTCAGGGTGGCTTACATGAGGCCATAATGAATATTTACTATTTATTTGGAGGCATTTGATGCAAGGCAAGAGTTACGTACTTGGTATCCTGTAGGCTGTTTCCACTGTAGATGTACATGCGTTTCACAGTTGCCCCATGGGGGATTTGCAGAGAAGCGAGGCCATGGGCAAAGTTTGGCTGCGGAGATGAGAATAAAGTCATTCTAATTGTAAAATGTGCAAATTCAAAAATATACAGTGTAGATTGATTTGTCTAGTTTTTATTATATGTTATGTTTTTAATTGTATTTATGATGTTGTAAGCATTGAATTTTGCCCTGTTAACCGCCTTGAGTCGCCCACAGGCTAAGAAAGGCAGTATACAAATAGAGTAAATAAAGCATTACACATCATGGCAATTCCCGGCCTTGGTTTCCTTTCCTCGGTTCTTTTTCTGCAAATCGAAAGGCTTGTGTTTGCCGGGCACTCCTGAGAACTTGATGAGACAAGGCCAAAAGCAAAACAGGGCTTTCATGCTACAGACACTTGCAGTTCCTTTTGCAACAAAATCACAAAACCAAAATCCCATTTGTAGTTCTTTTCTGGATGTGTTATGCTAAATGTAGTCCTGAACACGATACTTATCTCAATTATGGTAACTTTAGGCCAAACCAAGTTATAAATTATACCGTTTATATCCTGAAAGTAACGAAGCCTGGTTTCAGAGATGGGATCACAGGGTTTTCTGAAAGGTTGCTAGGATTTCCATGAGAAATTATGATTTAAAAAAAAAAAAAAAATTTTGGGGTGTGTGTGGGGGAATCTATCTATCATCTATCTATCTATCTATCTATCTATCTATCTATTTATCATCAATCCATCTGTCTGTCTATTATCTATCTGCCTGTCTGTCTGATTAACTATCTAGCTGTCTGTCTAGCGATCTATCTGGCTATCATCTATCTATCTATCTATCTATCTATCTATCTATCTATCTAATCAATCATCTATCTTTCTTTCTGTCTATTATCTATGTCTGTCTTCTATCTGTCTGTCTGTCTTCTATCTGTCTGTCTGTCTTCTATCTGTTATCTATCTATCTGTCTGTCTGTCTCTATAATTATCTGTCTATTATCTATCTATTACCTGTCTGTCTGTCTGTCTATATCTATTTGTCATCTATCTATCTGTCTGTCTGTCTGTCTGTCTGTCTATCTATCATTTATCTGTTTGTCTGCCTATATCTAACTGTCATTTATCTATCTGTCTATCTATCATCTATCTGTATGTCTTTCTATATCTATCTAAATGTCATTTATTTATCTATCTATCTGTCTGTCTATCATCTATCTATCTGTGTGGATCATCTATCTGTCTGTCTGTCAATCATCTATCTATCTGTCTGTCTGTCTTATCATCTGTCTGTCTATCACCTACCTATCTGTCTGCCTGTCTATCATCTATTTTTCTGTCTGTCCTCTATCTTTCTGTCTGTCTGTATCATCTATCTGTCAATTATCTATCTATCTATCTATCTATCTATCTATCTATCTATCTATATCATTTATCTATCTATGTCTATCTGTTTATCATCTATCTATCTCTCTGTTAATCATCTATCTATCTATCTATCTATCTATCTATCTGTCATCTGTCTCTCTGTCAATCATTTATCTATCTGTCTATCATATATCTGACTACCTGTCTGTCTTATCATTTCTCTGTCTGTCTATCATCTATCCATCTCTATCATCTATCTATCTGTCTGTCTTTCTATCCCCTATCTTTCTGTCTGTCTGTATCATCTATCTGTCTATTTTCTATCTATCTGTCTGTCTGTCTATCTATCATCTATCTGTCTTCCTGTCAATCATCTATCTATCTATCTGTCTGAGAGAACAAGCACTATGAGGAGCGGCTTAAGGAGCTGGGCATGTTTAGCCTGAAGAAGAGAAGGCTGAGAAGAGATATGATAGCCATGTATAAATATGTGAGAGGAAGCCACAGGGAGGAGGGAGCAAGCTTCCTTTCTGCTTCCCTGGAGACTAGGACGCGGAACAATGGCTTCAAACTACAAGAGAGGAGATTCCATCTGAACATGAGGAAGAACTTCCTGACTGTGAGAGCCGTTCAGCAGTGGAACTCTCTGCCCCGGAGTGTGGTGGAGACTCCTTCTTTGGAAGCTTTTAAACAGAGGCTGGATGGCCATCTGTCAGGGGTGATTTGAATGCAATATTCCTGCTTCTTGGCAGGGGGTTGGACTGGATGGCCCATGAGGTCTCTTCCAACTCTAGGATTCTATGATTCTATGTCTGTCTGTCTATCACCTATCTATCTGTCATCTATCTGTCTGTCTATCATTTATCTGTCTGTCAATCATCTATCTGTCATCTATCTATCTGCATGTCTATCATCTATCTATCATCTATCCATCTGTCTATCATCTATCTGTCCGTCCATCCATCTGTCAATCAATCAAAGTTTTTCCTGACACTTCATCTTTATTTCAAGGATTTCTTCAGGGCAAAAAGTTTGGAGTACAGCCGTTTTAAATGGTGCTAATATCACATTTTGCCCATTTCTCTGAAAATTTCTGTTCCCCATTTGTTTGTATTTCCCTATGTGCACAATTTCAGATTTATTTTTGCTCCGAAGATTTGTGCGTTTCTTCCCGTTTCATACCCATCCTGCGTCTGCTTCCCAGTTTTGTGCAACATCTGTATATGAACTGATATCATCAAAGCTACTGATCCATTCATGGCTTGAAACTATCCCCTTTTCAAATGCAGTATGGCTCCCATATCCACAAAGGACCCCCATATCCACAGGTTCTGTATGGTTTGGCTACTAGACCCCATGTTAAGTGAAATACCCTCCCCTCAAAAGATATACACAACAAAAAGCAATGCATTAAATCAAAAGAAGTTCATTCCTAAGCTTTCCAAAACATAGCAACTATCCTGCTTAGCAATTATATATTAACCATGATGTCTGACCTCATACTTTGGAGTTTCAGTCCAGGAGTCCAACTGAAAGGAAAAAGACAGTCCTCTAAAGTTGAGGTGGAAAAGTTGCTCCGCAGAGTTGTACACTGGAGAAGGAGACACACAAGAGAGAAATGAACACACTCATTCTTCACTTTCTAGTCTTTTTAGTCTGGTGACACCAACAAGTAGTTCAGTTCTTCATCAGAACAACTATGAGGGCATCTGGGAAGCTTCGACATGTCTTTTGGACAACTGCAAATACATATTTTTTAAAAATCTAGTATGGGACCCCATTAGACATTTCCAAGGTGGGCAAGTGGGAGGGACATGAGTCAGTCCTTGGTTTCAATGAGAAAAATGAGGGGCTGTCAGAGGAGTCGCCAAAGACCATCTGAAAACATGATATTTTCTGTTGGTCATGGGGGTTCTGTGTGGGAAATTTGGTTCAATTCCATTATTTGTGGGGTTCAGAATGCTCTTTGATTGTAGGTGAACTATAAATCCCAATAACGACAACTCCTAAATGTCAAGGTCTATTTTCCCTAAACTCCTCCAGTGTTCACATTTGGGCACATTGAGTACCCATGCCAAGTTTGGTCCAGTTCCATCACTGTTTGAGTCCATAGTGCTCTCTGAATGTAGGAGAACCACAACTCCCAAACTCAAGGTCAATGTCCACCAGATCCTTCCAGTATTTTCTGTTGGTCATGGGAGTTCTGTGTGCCAAGTTTGGTTCAATTCCATTATTTGTGGAGTTCAGAATGTTCTTTGATTGTAGGTGAACTATAAATCCCAGTAACTGCAACTCCTAAATGTCAAGGTCTATTTTCCCCAAACTCCACCAGTGTTCACATTTGGGCACATTGAGTACGCATGCCAAGTTTGGTCCAGTTCCATCACTGTTTGAGTCCACAGTGCTCTCTGGATGTAGGAGAACCACAACTCCCAAACTCAAGGTCAATGCCCACCAGATCTTTCCAGTATTTTCTGTTGGTCGTGGGAGTTCTGTGTGCCAAGTTTGGTTCAATTGCATTGTTGGTGGAGTTCAGAATGCTCTTTGATTGTAGGTGAACTATAAATCCCAGCAACTACAACTTCCAAATGACAAAATCAATCCCCTTCCAACCCCACTAGTATTCAAACTTGGGCGTATTAGGTGTCTGTGTCAAATTTGGTCCAGTGAATGAAAATGCATCCTGCATGCCAGATATTTACATTACAATTCACAACAGTTGCAAAATTACAGTTGTGAAGTAGCAACAAAAATAATGTTGTGGTTGGGGGTCACCACAACATGAGGAACTGTATTAAGGGGGTTGCGGCATTAGGAAGGTTGAGATACACTGCTCTCTCTCTATATATATATACATATACATACCATACATAGTTTAAAGGTAAGGTAAAGGTTTTCCCCTGACATTAAGTCCAGTCATGTCTGGGGGTTGGTGCTCATCTCCATTTCTAAGCTGAAGAACCGGCGTTGTCCATAGACACCTCCAAGGTCATGTGGCCAGCATGACTGCATGGAGCGCCCTTACCTTGCCCGCCGGAGCTGTACCTATTGATCTACTTACATTTGCATGTTTTCGAACTGCTAGGTTGGCAGAAGCTGGGGCTAACAGAGGGCGCTCACCCCGCTCCCTGAATACGAACCTGCAACCTTTCAATCAGAAAGTTCAGCAGGTCAGCAGTTTAACCCACTGTGCCACCGGAGGCTCCAATACATACATACATACATACATACATATACATACACATACACACACTTATTCATTCATTCTCTATGGATTTCTAGGTTTCCCAATGCAATTCTATGGTCAACCTCCAATTTCTCCAACAGATGAATACCTTACAAGGTATACAGAGCTGTGTTTTATTTTCCATTATGTTATTTTGTACTGTTTATTTTACTTGATTGGTTTATTTATTTTATTGTGATGTTATTTTGTTGTTTATATTTTATGTTGCTGTAATGTATCGCTGGGCTTGGCTTCATGTAAGCCGCTCCGAGTCCCCTTTGGGGAGATGGGGGTGGGGTATAATAATAATAATAATTATCATCATCATCATCATCATCATCATCATCTATATAAATAAAAATGTAATGTCCATTTGTAGGATTAACATAACTCAAAAAACCACTGGACGAACTGACTCCAAATTTGGCCACAAGATACATACTAACCCAAGGAGTGACCATCACTCAAAAAATTGATTTTCTAATTTGGGAGTTGTAGTTGCTGGGATTTATAGTTCACTTACAATCAAAGAGCATTCTGAACTCCACCAATGATGAAATTTAACCAAATATGGTACACAGGACTCCCATGACCAACAGATCACACTAGAAGGGATTGGTGGGCATTGACCTTGAGTTTGGGAGTTGTAGTTCACCTACATCCAGAGAGCACTGTGGACTCAAACAATGATGGATCTGGACCAAACTTGGCACGAATATTCCATATGCCCAAATATGAACACAGATGGAGTTTGGGGGTGGGGGTGGGGGATAGACTTTGACATTTTGGAGTTGTAGTTACTGGAATTTATAGTTCACCTACAATCAAAGAGCATTCTGAACTCCACCAACGACAGAATTGAGGCAAACTATCCACACAAATCACACATGACCAACAAAAAAAATACTTAAGGCCATCCATTCCAACTCCCTTCACCCTGTCAAGAAAACATAATCAAAGCCCTCCTGACAAAGAGCCATCCAGCCATAGATATAGATATATATATATGATTCACACATATATATAGTATCATAGATTTGAAAGGGACCCCTAAAGAAGGACAATTACATGTTGCATGTTCCAGAGTAGGCAAACCAGACAATCTCCACATCAACACTGACAAACAAACAATAAGAAATACCGTTTACCCATAAGCATAATGAAATTACATATATTAGAAACCAATACTTTCTCATTACTTTATTTTCCAGATCACCAGACTGGGCCACAGCCATGCATGGTAGGGAACAGCTAATAATAATAATAATAATAATAATAATAATAATAATAATAATAATAATAATAAATTTCAGCTCTTGGGGAAAGAGCAATGCAGATAAAAATAATGAATATTAGACAAAGTATCAGCACAAGATCTTATTCATCAAGTATAGGAAAGCTGGAACGCATCACTCCGGAAGAGGGTATCTCTGGGGAAAGTTTTGAACCATTTACATTTGCCCTCCAGCCTTTCATAGTTCTTTTGTTCAGTCTTACGGTAAGAACCTATCTGAACCTTGATTTCTGATAAATGAAGGATAGGGAGCAAAATGCATCTGGGAAATGCATTTATGGGAAATTCCAAAACATATTCAGCTTTTGATTATGTGGCACCCTTTCACGGGAACAGTTGCCACAGTGTAAAAGGCCAATGTTGGATTTTTGTGCCAAAAGGTGTTCTTTTGTATCCCAGAGAAACATGGAGTAGCCTGAGCCGACACAAAAATTATGGGGAAGGTTCTTACAGTCATCTTTAAGAAATATATTCTACAATTAAGGCATTTTGTTGGATTGATTGGGATTGAGGGAAACACATTCGGGGCTCTGTAATCTGAAGCAATTTGGGGAAGCAAGGCAGCCCACACTCAAACGAAATCTCCAAGTGCGAACCAGTGAATTGATATATGGTTTTAGCCCAGGATCAGAAAGAATGTAATGATTGAGGACATTTCAAAAGAGACATTGCATCCTTTTCTGGTCTAACAGGATCCTGGAGAGCACTCTAGTAACCTGCAAAACCTGCTGGAGCAAAGACTATGACGGGACAACATGACGAAAACAACACCAATGAGGAAACAAAGCTTGCCTCAGGATAGACATTAGTGCATCTACCCAAGATTTATCATCTTGAAGCTGTGACCTGCCTTGACCAAGGGAAGAGGCAGGTAAGAAATAATAATAATAATAATAATAATAATAATAATAATAATAATAACTGGAAAAGCTGACATGATATGAGGATTTAAAGATCGAACTGCAAAGACTCTGGCACAAGCCAGTCAAGGTGGTCCCAGTGGTGATCGGCACACTGGGTGCAGTGCCTAAAGACCTTGGCCTGCACTTAACACAAAATTTCCATCTGCCAGCTGCAAAAGGCCACCTTACTGGGATCTGCACGCATTATTCGCCGATACATCACACAGTCCTAGACACTTGGGAAGTGTCTGACGTGTGATCCAATACAACAGCAAGCAGAGTGATCTTGTTTACTGTGGACTCATCTGCTGTGTATATAATAATAATAATAATAATAATAATAATAATAATAATAATAATAATTTTGGAAAAACATATTCCAAGGAACCAATGTTAGCTGAGAAGTCAATTTCTGTGGCAGGGTTTTCCCTCTCTTCCCTCCAGCTAATCAATCATGCTCGTTGAAAAGCTGTTCCAGAGTTCACCAAACCTTTGGAGAAGATCCAGAGTCACTCTGGAGGGCCTAGGCTGGATCTATACTGCCCTATACCCCAGGAACTGATCCCAGATTATCTGTTTATCCCGGATTATCTGGCAGTATAGACACATATAGTCCAGTTCAAAGCAGAGTCTCTGGGAAGAGATCCTGGGATAAAGGACAATGAAGATCCAGCCCTAGAGATTCCTAGGGAGTTTAAAAACAAAATTCCCTGCTTTCTACTTTTGTGGTGGTTCTGTGCCCCAACCCCTAAAAAAATGGAGGGCCTATTGTACTCACCAACGTTTAGTACTGAGACTGATACCTAGCACAATACTTAGCCATATTACGAGTAGTAATTGATAGCTTTTAATCTATCCATATTTCATCACATAATAGTCGCAGCCAAAATGGGGTTTCCCCCTTTTATCAACAACAACAACAACAACTTTATTTATATCCCACCAACATCTCCCAGAAGGGCTCGGGGTGGCTTAAAGAAGCACATACAAGTGCCATAGCACATAAAAATAGAGGTAAAATTATATCACATATTAATCAATGACAACATCAGTTAAGATAAAAACAACACATTACAAAAAGGCTGATTTAAAATCAATGAAACACAGTACAAATTGCCTTAAAAACTAATAGTACAGCATCCGAGCTGCAGCCCAATTCAACCATTAAAGTGCTTTTCCTCACATAATTGTCGCAGGTGCTTATAAAACCGAGAAACTTCCTTTCCTCCTCAAAGACTGTTTAAACAAACACTGAGTCCTCCTTCCGTCCTCTTTGTCTCGGAATCCAACAAACAAAAGGCACCAGTTGTATTTCATCACATAATAGTCGCATCCTGATTAAAAAAGTGCAACTATTATGCGATGAAACATGATATATGTCATATTTCTGAGGGATAGTTCAATCAAATCGAGGCCTTTCTTATGAACAGGTCAGGGATTTTCATGTCTCATGGCTGACTTTTAAATCCAGTGGAATTATAAGAGGAAAGCCACATAAATATAAGGTGGAGGCTGCTTCTTTGGAGGTTTTTAAGCAGATGGCCATCTGTTGGGAGTGCTTTGACTGTACATTTCCTGTCTTGCAGAAGGGAGCTACACTGGAAAGCCTGTTTGATCAACTCTATGAGTTTATAACAGGCATGGGCAAACTCCAGCTGTTTTGGATTTCAACTCCCACAATTCCTAATACTCTACCGGCTGTCAGGAATTGTGGGAGCTTCAGCCCAAAACACCTGGAGGGCCAAAGTTGGCCCATGCCTGGCGTATAATAATGTCGAGTGCAACTTACCTCCGGGATGAGTGGCTCCAAAAGACTGATCAATTTGTTCTATAGTCGGAGCAATTGCCTGAGAGTTAAAATGAACACCACTGGGAAGAAACAAAATGGGGGGAAACAAACATTTATTAATCAATTATTCATCCAAGTTTTCTACATAATTTCAAAACCACTCCCAAGGAAGCGAAGCGCTTCTAGATCCCTTCCCTATTTATGGTAATCTCAACCAGTTTCAGAATTATTCTGAGATGGAGATCATTATTCCTATGTTTTGTCAAGCCAAGATAGAATTACTTTCCAGGGGAATCCTTTGTTGAGAGGTATTAGCTGGCAATTGGGAAGGAATCCCACTGGAAACAATATCATATGAAAGCTGACTGGCACAACCTGGGGATCACAACCGGACACAGTGAAGACATCTGCCCTTGCGCTATGCTACTCTGCTGCTGAGTATGCATGCCCAGTGTGGAACACATCTCACCACACTAAAACAGTGGATGTGGCTCTTAATGAGACATGCCGCATTATCACGGGGTGTCTGCGCCCTACACCACTTGAGAAATTACACTGCTTAGCCGGTATTGCACCACCTGACATCCGCCGGGAAGTAGCAGCCAATAGTGAAAGGACCAAGGCAGTGACATCTCCAGCTCATCCCTTGTTTGGGTATCAGCCAGCACGTCAACGACTTAAATCAAGAAATAGTTTTCTAAGATCTACAGAGACACTCGCTGGAACACCTCAGCAAGCGAGAGTCCAAAAGTGGCAGGCTCAAACCCAGACCTCAATCAATGGCTGATACCAAATGAGAGACTCCCCCCTGGGCACACAGAGGACTGGGCGACTTGGAAGGCGCTCTGGCACCACGAGATGCAGAGCCAATCTTAAGAAATGGGGCTACAAAGTGGAATCCTCGACATGCGAGTGCGGAGAAGAACAAACCACTGACCACCTGCTGCAATGCAACCTGAGCCCTGCCACATGCACAATGGAGGACCTTCTTGCGGCAACACCAGAGGCACTCCAAGTGGCCAGATACTGGTCAAAGGACATTTAATCAACTACCAAGCTTGCAAATTTTGTGTTTTGTCTGTTTGTTTGTTTGTTCTGTTAGAAATGTAATACAATTGACTGGTTGTCCTGACACGACAAATAAATAAGCTGGCACTGATTGCTTCTTGTCTGGTGTTGTGGCTCAGCTGGAGCCTCAGGAAGAAGAAGATGGGTTTCAGACTCTTGAACATGTTCCTGTTGTTGATACAGATGATGTTGATACTGAAGATGAGGAGTTTCAGTTTCCCATGGCAAGGCATGTTGTTTTGGAGGATGTTTACGGTCTCAGTGAAACTTCCTAGGTGCAGGTGGAGGAGGCGAGCTCTCAGCCTGCCGATTCTCAGGGTAATGAGCTATCCGACATTGAAGGCTCTGCAGATTTAGATAGGGAGGATCGCTTGCAATTCAGGGTTCGCCACAGTGCGAGGCTTGCTAACAAGAGACTTACTTACTTACTTAGGCGATCCCTCGTTTTCCGAGGATGATTGTCTTCCAGTATTCTTGTGGGTCCGTATGTGGCTGTGGAGCCCTATTCTTGCTCTGCATCTTCTTCCGCAGTGAGGGCATTGGTTTCCAGGTGGAAGGCGGTCTCGGTCGGGGTTGGCTTGACGCGCCTTCCTCTTGGCACGCTTCTCCCTTTCGCCCTCCATTCGTGCCTCTTCAAATTCTGCAGCACTGCTGGTCACAGCTGACCTCCAGCTGGAGCGCTCAAGGGCCAGGGCTTCCCAGTTCTCAGTGTCTATGCCAGAGTTTTTAAGGTTAGCTTTGAGCCCATCTTTAAATCTCTTTTCCTGCCCACCAACATTCCGTTTTCCGTTTACAGCAACTGCTTTGGGAGACGTGGTCGGGCATCCAGACAACGTGGCTGGTCCAGTGGAGTTGATGGCGGAGGACCATCGCTTCAATGCTGGTGGTCTTTGCTTCTTCCAGCACGCTGACGTTTGTCCGCCTGTCTTCCCAAGAGATTTGCAGGATTTTCCGGAGGCAGCGCTGATGGAATCGTTCCAGGAGTTGCATGTGACGTCTGTAGACAGTCCACGTCTCACAGGCATATAGCAGGGTTGGGAGGACAATAGCTCTATAAACAAGCACCTTGGTATTCCTACGGATGTCCCGGTCCTCAAACACTCTCTGCTTCATTCGGAAAATGCTGCACTCGCAGAGCTCAGGCGGTGTTGTATTTCGGTGTCGATGTTGACTTTGGTGGAGAGGTGGCTGCCAAGGTAGCGGAAATGGACAACATTTTCTAATGTTACACCATTAAGCTGTATCACTGGCATTGGAGAGGGATTGGCTGGTGACTGCTGGAACAGCACCTTGGTTTTTTCAATGTTCAATGACAGGCCGAGCTTCTCGTATGCTTCTGTAAAGGTGTTTAGAGTGGCTTGTAGATCTTCTTCTGAATGCGCACAGACAACATTGTCATCAGCATACTGGAGTTCTATAACAGATATTGTTGTAACCTTGGTTTTGGCTTTCAGTCTGCTGAGGTTAAACAGCTAGCCATCTGTCTGATAGATGATTTCCACTCCGGTGGGAAGCTTCCCATCAACAACGTGTAGTATCATAGCGATGAAGATGGAGAATAAAGTTGGGGCAATAACACATCCCGGATTCCACCTTAAATGGGTCACTTTGGGAGCCATTGCTGTCCAAGACTGTTGCCATCATGTCATCATGGAGATGCCGCAGGATGTTCATGAATTTGTTAGGGCACCTGATTTTTTGGAGGATGGTCCAGAGAGTGCTGTGATTCACTGTGTCGAATGCCTTTGCAAGGTCAATGAATGCCATGTACAGAGGCTGATTTTGTTCTCTGCATTTTTCTTGGAGCTATCGTGCAGTGAAGATCATGTCCATTGTTTCTCTCGAGGGGCGGAAGCCGTTCTGGGATTCTGGGAGGGGTTAGAGGTCAAGAGAGAGGTTAGAGGTCAACGGAATGCGTTCATGCTGGGAAAGTATATTAAACGAGCTGTTTGAAGTCAGCTCTTTGTCAGTGCAACTTCTGCAAACACCCTGGTAACTTCTCTGGATTGCCTTGGCTTTTGGGCAGTGCTCTTGGCCTCTTGGGACTTTGTCTTGTTCTTGGCTCCTTGGGACTCTGTCATGCTGCCATGGATTCTTGTTTGATCAATGCCTTTGGATTATGCTTCCTGTTGTTTGCCACTGAACTTTGGAAACTTTGCCTTTGCATTTAAGACTCTACTTTTGCCATTGAACTTCTGAAACTTTACATTCATGTTAAAGACTTTGCTTTTTCTTCAATAAACTACAAAACCTTCAGCTTTGGTGTGGTGTTCTGAGCAAGGTGAATCTATCCTGAGTTGCGACATCTGGAATTCCCCAGTTTTTGAGTGTTTTTCTTTTTTTACTGTTATGATTTTAGTTTTTTAAAATACAGGTAGCCAGAAACAATCAGGGCTAGCTAATCACCTCCCAACAAAGGATTCCCTCAGGCAGAAAGAAGCCAGACCTTGAAACTGCTAGGCCATACAATGCTAATCAAGGTGGCCAAGTTGCAACATCTGGGGAATTCCAGATGTCGCAACTCAGGATAGATCCACCTTCACACCTACCTCAAACAGACATGAGTTCTTTCTCCCACCCTGGACATTATTCCACAGGTATAGAAACCCAATTTTCCTAATTTCCAACAGACCTCACCACCTCTGAGGATGCCTGCCATAGATGTAGGCGAAATGTCAGGAGAAAATGCTTCTGGAACATGGCCATACAGCCCAGAAAACTCACAGCAACCCAGTGATTCCGGCCATGAAAGCCTTTGACAATACATTAATTTCACACTGTCATTTGATATCCTAGACTGTTTGAAATAAATAATCAGAAACTCCCCGTTAAAATGAAGTATAAAACTATAGTCAGGGAATGTTTTTCTGATTTGACTCTTAACCCGTGAAGATGCGGGCAAAGGGACTATGTGCGAAGGCAAAAGCATAGCCAAATTATATATCCATCTAGAAGAGGAAAAAAAGGGAACAGAAACCTGCATTTCAATGACCAGCCACTTACCAATATTTTAACTTCACTTTAGTCAAGTCATAAACTTCAATCACCTAAAAAGAAAGGATAAATATTAAATATGAAAGACCAATAATGAGCTCTGGGGAATCTGAAAATATGAACAAGGAAGAACACAATAAATACGCCCGAATAGTTCCTTGTGAGCTTAAGGGGATGAAAAGAGTCCATGGTTTGAGTCCATGGTAGTCTCTGGATGTAGGTGAACTACAACTCCCAAACTCAAGGTCAATGCTTTGTGGTTAAACAATGAGACGACGTGAATGGCTTTTTGTATTATTGATATTGTTGATGTTCTTGATGAGGATGTTTTTGATTATTGCTAGATGATATTTTAGTTTGTGTCTTGAATTTTGGATCTGTTCTTTCTATGTTGTACACCACTGTGAGTCGCCCCTGGGCTGAGAACAGCGGTATATAAGCAAAGTAAATAAATAAATAAATAATGCTCACCAAACCCTTCTAGTGTTTTCTATTGGTCATGGGAGTCCTGTATGCCCCGGTTGGTTCAATTCTATCATGCTATGTGATTGTAGGTGAAATATAAATCCCAGCAACTACAACTCCCTATCTATCTCTATCTATCGATCGA